GAAAATGGAGTTTTCGCAGATATAATCGCTGGAAATACCTTCAAATACTACTCAGAAAGCGAATGGAGGGTTTCTTCCTCCGGAAAATCTGTTCCGATCATCAACCCAACCACCCGAAAGACCCAATTCGAAGTCCAAGGTACAATTAATATATCGTCGATCTATTTACGTACCCACTTTTTTCTTCTTTCTCTGATTCTCTCATATGGGCATTTAAAGAAATCACCAAGTTCCGAACTTTTTAGGGATTTTGACTTTTTTGTTTATCGCGAATTCGTTACACGACATGTAAAGAAATTTCTAACGACCTTTTAGGGATTTTGACCTTTTGTTCTTGCGATGCAGCATGTACACAAGAAGAAGTGAACAAGGTGATGGAATCCGCAAAAATTGCCCAAAAGTCATGGGCTAAAACGCCTCTATGGAAAAGAGCAGAATTGCTACATAAAGCTGCAGCTATTCTTAAAGATCACAAAAAGCCCATAGCTGAATGTCTTGTTAAAGAGATTGCCAAACCAGCCAAAGATGCTGCTACTGAAGTACGTTACATAAAACCGTTTCTTAATTTCTGTTTATCTTAATTACGTCAATCTATAACATGTACAATCACAATTATCATCATTAGTTTTGCTGAACAATATGGGCAAATAGGTAAATTTATCTGTAAAGTGTTATATAATAATATGCTCTATGTACATGACAAAAAGTCGGAAAAATGAATCATTAAAGATCGATTATCTATCGCTAGAAAAACTATGCTTATGCCATCTTCTAAAGAATCTAATAAAGATAGAATCCATTATGACTTAAGTGGAACAAAGTCACAAAGATTCTCTCTTATCTCTCGCATACGCAAAAGACATAAATGCCCTGTAATTTTTTGATTTTGAAGGTTGTGAGGTCTGGAGATTTGGTGTCATATTGTGCTGAAGAAGGTGTGAGAATCCTTGGTGAAGGAAAGTTTTTAATGTCAGATAGTTTTCCTGGAAATGAAAGGACCAAATATTGTCTAACCTCAAAGGTAATTTATCTAGATATTGATACATATACATAACTATAATTATTAATTACATTTCTATTAGTATATGTAAAGAAATGTAAATTATTGCAGATTCCTTTAGGTGTTGTATTAGCAATCCCACCCTTCAATTATCCAGTCAATTTGGCTGTTTCAAAGATTGCTCCTGCCCTTATTGCAGGCAACTCACTTGTACTCAAGCCTCCTACTCAGGTATGTAAATCACTAAATTGTAAAGGGTTTGAAAACTGTTGGTGAAATGTCTAAAATACCCTTTGATCCGTTTTCAGGGTGCAGTGTCTGCACTCCACATGGTACATTGCTTTCACTTGGCTGGTTTCCCAAAAGGTGTCATTAGTTGTGTTACTGGAAAAGGTTCAGAGATTGGTGACTTTCTCACAATGCATCCTATAGTTAATTGTATAAGGTAATTATTAACTTAAAAGAAATAATAATAATAATAATAATATAATCGAAATTGTTTTCTATAAAAAAAAAAAAATTGTTATTCAGCTTCACGGGTGGAGACACGGGAATTGCAATCGCAAAAAGGGTGTCGATGATTCCATTACAAATGGAATTAGGTGGAAAAGACGCATGCATTATCCTTGAGGATGCGGATTTGGATTTGGCTGCATCTAATATAGTCAAAGGAGGCTTCTCTTACAGGTTGAGGTCATTTTGGTAATTTTGGTCATTTTCATTCGATCTTTTTAACCTTTTAAGGTTGTTTTCTCTTTATTTAGTGGTCAACGATGCACGGCTGTTAAAGTTGTGTTGGTGATGGAATCCGTGGCGGATATTCTCGTGAAAAAAGTCAACGAAAAAGTCGGAAAGTTGACCGTGGGGCCCCCGGAAAACGATTGTGACATCACTCCCGTGGTTACGGAATCGTCTGCAAATTTTATAGAAGGTTTGGTTATGGATGCAAAGAAAAAAGGAGCAACATTTTGTCAAGAGTATAAGAGAGAAGGTAATCTTATATGGCCACTTTTGCTTGATAATGTCAAACAAGACATGAGAATAGCATGGGAAGAGCCATTTGGACCCGTGTTGCCTATTATAAGGATTTCTAATGTTGAAGAAGGAATTCATCATTGTAATGCAAGCAATTTTGGGCTTCAGGTATGCTTAAACCCTAAACCCTAAACCGTAAATCAGTCAGACTTAAGGTGTACATTTATGAATTCTTTTGTATTTCATCGTAAAGAAAATTTTAAATCGTGTTTCGATAGGGTTGCGTATTTACAAAAGACATCAACAAAGCAATGTTGATAAGTGATGCGATGGAGACGGGTACGGTTCAAATAAATTCAGCACCGGCTCGAGGACCTGACCATTTTCCTTTCCAGGTCCGTGTCAAACACAGTACAACCTGTTCTGTCTGTTCTTTTTTTGTGCCAAGTTTGACTTGTAATGGAGCGAGTTTGTTTGATGACAGGGTTTGAAAGATAGTGGGATTGGTTCGCAAGGAGTGACAAATAGTATTAACATGATGACAAAAATCAAAAGTACGGTGATCAACTTGCCCACTCCTTCGTACACAATGGGATAGTAGAAGTTAGAGGGGAACACTTTTGGTGAAGGTCGTGTTTGTATATAAGCTCTTATGTGACAATGTTGAAGAGGGTGTGATATTATGGTATTATGTAATCTTGGTGTTTGAATAATGATTTTGTTAATTGTTAAACGAGAAAGTAGGCTTGAACATTTGGGTTCTTTTTTCGAGGCCCTTGAGAATAATGTATCTTGAACTAGATATCACTTGTATCATCTAATAATTGTGAGTAATGTTTGGTTTTCAAAACCAATTTATAATAATACCCCTTTTTAACTCTAAAAATCGTTTTGAGGTGAAGGTTATTTTTTAGCAACACGTAAGCCGATTCACATTGCATAACAAGAGAATCATGTGACATGTAGATAAGACATAAACATACAACATTCCCCTTGAATCTATGTAGTAGATTTTGTTTTGTATTCCAGCTAATATTTTTGTAGACATTGTGATTTACCTCAACTAGAAAAAAAAGTTATTATGTTAATATATTTCTTACTTCGTAGTCCTTAATATTTTTTGTTGTAAAATAATTCATTATTGTTTACGTAACTTCTTCATACGATCTCGAGTTTTAACGATCTTTATGTCTACACGTTCGTAGTTGAATTTACTACAACTTGCGTTTAGATTACTCGCGTTAAAAAGTAATATATTTTTAGTTATGATTTTTATATACATGCTTTCTTTATGAATGTATGTATGAACATTTTTTTAAAAATCGTCAGTAAAAATATATTACTTTTTAACGTGAATAATCTAAAGTTAATTGGTTGCTTAGGTCTTGTATTTTGAACGTTGTAACTTCTTTATATGATCTTATATTTTGAACGAACTTTATATCCACGCGTTCGTATTTAAGTCTATTACAACTTTCGTTTGGATTACTCCCGTTAAAAATTAATCTGGTTTTACTTATGATCTTTATATACATGCATTATTTATGAATATATGTATGAACGTTTTCTTTATAAAATCATAAGTAAAAATATATTATTATTTAACGAGAGTAATCTAAACGAAAATTAGAATAGACTTAAATACGAACGTGTGGATATAAAGAATTTTAAAATCCAAGATCGTATGAAGAAGTTGTGGCGTTTACAACACAAGACTTAAGCACCAAACAATCGTAGTTGTGGTGGTCATAAGCATGAACACCCCCGAACACCTCGTTAAAGATTGTCCTATGTAGGATACCATGAAAAAAACCTAAAGAAACATTCATAAGTATTGAATGTGTACAAAAACATTGACTTATACATACAAATTTTTACCCTAAAATATATATGTGTTTATACGTGTCATGTGTCAACACGAATTTTATCGTGTCTTATACGTGTCTAAATAAGTAAATTCGTGTTTGACACGTGTAAGACACGAACACGAATTTAAAATAGGTGTCAGACACGAATAGACACGAAAAACGAATTTCTAAAACACCTACACAGAAAACTCATATCGTGTTTGTGTCGTGTAAATCATGTCGTGTATGAAATTGTCAGGTCTAGGGGTAACTACCTGAATTGTGCATTCTTAATAATTGAGAATTTGGGTATGATTTTTTAAGTGCCTTATCTTAATAATTCAGAATTTGGGTATGATTTCTTTTTGCAAATATGACAAAGCAAAGATAAGACCTTTTATCTTATGTTTTCTTAGGTGGGGAATCACCCCTCCTCTTTTTTATTTTGTTTTGCAAAAAACTGAATTCAATTAGTTAGCGAGCGTCCAAGCAGATACGAAGGAGAAGTGAACAATTTTATTGGTACAAAAATGTAGATTCTAATCTGAAGGTTCAAATAAATAGTATAGAAAAGCATGTAGTTCGTAAAATGACTTTGGAAATAGAATCAGTAAAAAAAAATTGGATATAGAGAAAATCATAATCTTTTAATCCATTTGCCAATTGATAAAAAATAAATAAAATAAATCGTCACCTTTGGGAAGCCTACGTCAAGCCCATCCTAAAACGTTATGTTTTCAACCATAAACATATGAAAGTATGCACTTCAATTGCTAAGGCATCGTGGAATTATGGGTCTCCATTTTATTTTTAGTATATATATATATATATATATATATATATATATATATATATATATATATATATATATATATATATATATATATATATATATATATATATATATATATATATATATATATATATATATATATAATGTTTGGTATGAATCAAATCCACAAAAAATATGTACTTTGGACCAATGGAATTTTTTTAGATTTTATCCAAAGTTTTAGCAAATCATAGGGATGAAATTTGTAGTTTACTCTTTATTAATAAATATTAAGTTACATGATAACTAAATATACACAACAAATTACAAGGATGGAAAATGTGAGTATACAAACCTAGATCATTATACAAATTTGCCACATCCCGAAGAAGAGGACATAATTCCAATGGCTGTAGCAATTACAAGGATGGAAAATGTGAGTATACAAACCTAGATCATTATACAAATTAATAATTTTTCTAATCCGAATATAAATACAAATCAAGATATACTTTTTTATAATAGGGTAAACCAACATGGGTTAAAGGCAATCTCAGTTTTCCACATCAGGATAGGAGATTCACACAAACCGGATGTGCTAATTGCTTGAAGCCAATTGAAGCAGATGTTAGTTGGACCATCACATGTCCTGTACGCAAAAGTGAATCCAAAGTTAGAATCATGTAAGTAAATTAATACACTAAATTGTAATCTACAAAAACATTAATACTACATGCATTTGAATGAAGAGGTCAAGAGCAACAATTAATATCGATGATGGAAGCGGTTCCATTTGTGCGACTATTTCTACACCAGATATAGAAAAGTTCATTTAGTTTAATCCAAATTCAGTTAGAGATGCCGAAGAAAACGTAAGGATAACTATTCTGTCATTTACCTATATGTAAAGAAGTAAATTAATACCAAATGACTAGCCAGTAATTGTGTAATTGTGCCAGGGAGAAGAAGTTCATGACAAAATTGCAGCATCAATTAAATCTTTATCAATTGTAGCATTTGTACGATCATATCAAGCATATCATCAACAAAAACCTACCACAAGATTTGTCATTGTTAAGGCACATAATCCTCAACAACCAGATACCCATAACCAACAACAAATCGAAACATCAAACCCACCTGACCCTCAATCATCAACCAAAACACCTTCTTCTATGCAAACACAAAAGCGTAGCTAACATCAAATCGAGAGATCCAAGGGGATAAAAACTTCAACAGCTGCTCCTACAAGACGATCTAAAAAAATGAAATAGGTATTTCATTAGCAATCATTTTTTTTTAATAAAATTCATGTCAGCATCAATTTTTGTTAAATACAACTTTTGTGGAAGCATCATTATTACTTAGTCATATATTATGCAAATAGAATCATCATAATTTTCAATTTAGAAGATATTAGAGAAGTTGTCAACTTCCTTTGGTAAATATTCAAATTAAAGGCACGAATTCCATTTGTACTTGAACTCAAATATGGAATGCATATCAATATAAATTGTTGCTACATTTTCTTTTATATTTAATTTGATTTTAAATTTGTAATGTATTTGCAGGAACCAAATTATTATCAAGATGTTGACATTGGATATTTCATTCGTTCTCTATATCACATAATGGTGAAGCAATAAACACCTACCAATGTAAATTAATGTATGTATATTATGTTATTGAATATGTAAATGATATATTTATGTATTAACTGATGGTTAAACAATAAACACATATTAAGGTAAATTAATTATGTATATTATGTTACTGAATATGTAAATGATATATTTATGTATTACCTGGTGGTGAAGCAATAAAACACTTATTAATGTAAATTAATGTATGTATTTTATGATACTGAATATGTCAATGATATATTTCACTTAAACTTCGCAATGTAAAGCTTGGAATGTATATTATATTAAAAAATGTTTATACCAAATTCATAGTAATCTTTTACCTATATCACCCTACCTTCATTGTGACATTAGATTACACTAAAAATAATACCTAAATTATTTTTCTTGGGTCGTGGTTAGCAAATCATAGGGATGAAATTTGTAGTTTACTCTTTATTAATAAATATTAAGTTACATGATAACTAAATACACACAACAAAATCGGATATCATATTAGGATCCGGTGAAAATTCAGATTTTGACCAAACTTGATCGAATAATCTCACCTGCCATATTATAACTAGATCTAATTTGATATCGGATAATAAAATAATATTTTCCAAAATCCGGATCCAAATCTACCCTAAAATCCAATCCAATGCATACTAAAAAGGTGTTTAGGATTACTTTTAAAATGACTTTTTGATTTTTAGCTTTTCCAAAAAGTTAAAAGTTTAAAAAGATATTAGAGAAATAGAAAAATCATTTTTAATGTAATTTTTTGTGAAAACAAAAGTTTTTTTAAAGTCAGGAAATTATGTTTTTTTTTTTTTTTTTTTTTTTTAACTTTTAGTATTTTTAATTAATAAATTATATTTAAAAGTCAAAAAATACAACTCAAATATTTTTTAAAAATAATTTTTAGCTTTTACCTCTTAAAAGCTAAATCAAAAGGAATTTTTAGGAAAACACCCCCTACCATATCAAACCGGTTCGAATCCGGATTCTTACCGGATCTAAGTTAACCTTAAAATCCAATCCAAACAGGATCAGATTATGATAACGTCACCATATCCTGATCGGATTTTGTGTTTATCAGAGGGAAATGATGAGATTGAAATTGAAGGAGGAGGCTGAGCAACAGCTTAAGGATTCAAGGAAACAGCTCATCCATATACATCCCCCGGCTTCCGTCAATCAACTCCTCCCTGTTCTTGATGTAAGCCCCCGATTTGACTTTCGTTTCCAAAACGAAGCCCTTATTTATCTTTGAATTTCAAACTTTCACCTTTTGAAATCTAGAATCAACGTCAAAATCTACTACACAAGCAAAACAACTCTTGTTGATTTCTGAATTCACAAACAGTAGACACAATTCGACACTCGAAAGTAGGAATTACCGAGTGTTTCTTCTGTTCATACCCTCAATTTGTCCAACGAATTCCTTCTTTTCTCTAGGTTCCTTAGCAAGCTGAGAAACGTCTATTCAGTCATGAAGGTGTTGATACATGATGGTCTTTCAAGACATTCAGATGTTGATGTGAAGGTTGCAGACGCTGTTACTTCATCCATCACTGAAATAACAAGAATCGCAGCACCTGATGCACCTTACAATGATGAACAAATGAGGGTACACCATACAACCATACACACCACTTGTTACAAAACTTCCATATCATATATTTTGTTTTTAAACCATTTCTGTTTACACAGGATGCATTCGGTTGATTGTTTCTTCGGGTAATTGGTTCTTATAACAAAGGGTCTCAATTCTTGAAACCTTTTCTGAAGTCGAATCATTTCTCATCATGATTGATCTTGAATGCGATGAACTGATTGTGAACATGTTTCTTTCTACATTTTCTTGGATCAGTATTCATAAGGTGTGTTGTAGATCTTTATGTTATACAAGAAATAGGAATACTTTTAGTTATTTGTTTATTATATTTATAGCTTGGTACTTTCATTTCTTCGTATTTGATATTCTAGCAATTTCATCCAAATAAAAAACATTTCTCACTTCTATAATCAGGTAAATTTTCCAAATTGTAATGGTCTGTTTATTTCAAGTTAAGAATAATTTTGTAAAATAAAAACCAATAAAAAGGTAATTCGCGGAATAAGGTCCCAATGGTAAAATTCTTTATATTTAAAAATGTTTAATGGCCTACTCCCACGACGGTGTAACAATGTGAATTAGAGACAATAGTTTAAGACAAATATTCTTACATACAAGTGAAATCTCATATGACAACTTCTTATAAAAGTCCACAAGCTAATTCATCCGAAGTCTTCTTTAAATCTTCCAATTCGGATACATGCCAAAATACAAGTGTGAGGCTTGGAAAGCCTATTGATATACCCATATATATATACTCTAGAAGGGCCAATGATGTGTGTGATCATCCAATCCCAAAGTCAAAACCCTAAAAAAAAAAATAGTTTTCAAAACATGAAATGGTCATTAGTATCACAACTTGGGGAAAAATAGTTCAAACAAATCTCATAATAACCATTTGTAAAATACATCAACAAATAGAAGTATGCAATGCATATGCAACTACTCTTAATTCCCATGTTATTCTCATAGTGCTAACTCACCAAATATGGCTACAATGGGCATGTGTGAAGATAACAAGTAGCATACCCTACACTCTACCCTCCACACCCATGTGAATAGATCATATAGTTGTCCGGTGCTTGGTTCTAGGATGCCACTAGCCCATCATGTAGAACCAAACGTAAGTCCCAGCGTTCTAGAAGGGCATCATCTTGATTGAATACCACGTTTTGGATATCCAAGTATCAAGCTCGATCCTCCATACCCATGTGAATAGATCACATAGTTTTCCACTGCTAGGTTCTAGGATGCCACCATATAGAACCAAACGTCAGTCCCTTGTGTCCGTGAGACGTTCTAGAATCTAGAATGCCTTCACCCATCTTGCCTTGATTGTATATCATGTTTTGGATATCTAAGTCTTAGGCAACCACATGTCTTAGCCCATCCTAATATGGATGCATAAGTTAATGATCAAAATTATTTCTAACCAAATATTGATAGACTTTTATATACAATCTAATTTTTAATATCACACACACACACACACACACATATATATATATATATATATATATATATATATATATATATATATATATATATATATATATATTACAACTAGCTGTATATTCTCATTGGAATATATAGCTAATATATGAATGTGTAACATATAACTTTATCATAGAATATACAACTAAAAACCATCTTGTTGTATAAGCACCGTTAACGCATTTTAGTTGTGTATTCATAACGGAAATACAAATAACACATTATATATTTTTAGAAATGATCATAACTAAGAAATTAACTAGTTGATTATTCTAATGTGAAATACCAACACCTTAATAAATTGAAAATACTGATGAGTTTCTTAGTTATACATGACATTATGAATACACAACTAACTGATGTGTAAGAAGTATGTGGGATAATTTTAATTTTGATTTTGAGAAAATAACATGTGGCATTTATTTAGTCACCACCTACAGTTTGGAATGATAGGATCACGGTACGACACCGCTCTTGCCATCATTCGTCCATAGGCTTAAAGACTCACAACTAGCACCTTGGTGGGCCTATAGGCATGTGACCATCATCCTACTGACCTGCATGAACCTAGTTAATATCCTTTCTGACACCTACCAACGATCTGAACACATCTTGCAATAGGCGATACCAAGGACCACCAAAAATAATACTTACAAATGCTAACACCTATCAATACCTCTTCATCAATTTCTATGGTCCGACCATAGCCTTCAATTTCCATTCCATCTCTAGCACAAGCGCCACCACTACTATTATTGAGCACAACCCATAAAGAAAAACAAACTAACTGCCTTAGATCCACAAACCTCAATTCCCAATAGGCATCCAAACAACGATGGATGCTAAAGTCCAATCGTCACCCTACAACAACCTACACATGCTATAGAGCAACCGTATACAACATCTACATATGAATGTTGTTACGGCCAAGATCCTTAATCCTATACAGGATCCTGAATCTCTAAAATATCTGAGGATCCTTAAACCTATCTAGGATCCTGGATGCTAAAGGAGTCTCAGGAGCTCGAACATACATCAAGATCATGAACACCACCATTATTATTTCCTAACAAGTTTAACAGCTATATTTCTTGTTTATTTCTTACATGTGCAGAATTGGTTAACATAAGACTCATTCTCAATTAAGAAACATTCCAATAAGGCTTAAGATCCAGAAATACCAAGTTAAAGCACGTGTAACCACCAGTTTAACAGGATCCCGGAAATCTCAGATTTATAGTTACTTACCCTAGACTATAAATACACTTGTAAAACTCACACAACCGGTACAAATAGCTGACACCTTACTTATATAGACTCATTTATCATTTGTAATCGTATTATCAAGCTCATCTCTATAATTTACGTTCAAATCGATAAGATCATACAAGGCAGGTGATCATTATCACCTCCCAAGGTTATATGTCAGAGATCCTAACAAGGATCAAGGATTTTCCATGTAAACCACTTGTGTTATTTTGATCTCAATTCCATATTCACATTAATAACAACACCACAATCTCTCATGCAATTTGGTTGATATCCTTCTGATCGGTTTTTTACCAAAACAATTTGACACCCACCGTGCGGCCATGGTGATTATAGTTCTGGAAAAATCATGTCTACGCAATCAACCTCATCTTCTTCCTCTATTCTTCCCATTTATTCTAAAAACATTCCACCACCTCCAAGTGGACCTCTTGGTCAGAAGAAAACTTCTGATACCTCTAAAAAGAACATTTCTCCGATCATCAGCCATGGGAATCTAGGATCCCCGGGATTCCATAATCTTCCCATTCTAATCTCTAACATCGAACTCTTCTCCATGATGAAAGCGTTGATACAGCAGGTGGCTCAGCATCTGGAGGAAAAAACACTACTTAAGAAAGTGGAAAGGATAAGGGTGGAAATCCATAAAGCCCAGGAGGTGACCATCAATCTTGCAACCCAGGATCCTGAACTTCAATAACACATGATCCTTAGGGAAACACTCGGAGACTACATGTAACATCCCGTTTATTAAATAATAAACCAGAACCCCGAGAAGTAATTTTTATTGTTAATTTACATTATTAAAGCCCAAAATCAAATAATAATTAGCGGGGTGTTGGTTTCGGGAAGCTAAATGACAAGAATTGAAGTTCTGGGGGTTAAAGTGTAAGTTCGGGACTTATTTTGTAAGGATTTATGAAGGCAGGGTGTAATGGGTAACTTTTGGACTCATTCTGGAAGGATTTATGGGAACTTGGGTATAAAGGGTAAATTATGGACTTCATTCGAGAATAATTTGTAGAGGAGGGGTTGTTTTGTAACTGTTGGACTTATATTGAAAGGATTTTATGGAGTCAGGGGCCTAATGGTAAATTTTGGGATTTTAATTGAAAAGAATAAAGGAGGAGGGACTGAAAGTAACAATATGGACCAACGTTTGAGAGTGAGCGGGATTTATAACCCGTCACCCCCTCGTCCTAACCCTAAACCTAGCAACATACTGTAGTTGCCACCTTATACCACCCTCTCATCTTCAACCGCCTCCACATCCCTTCTCATCTTTCCGATCAGCTAAGGCCACCAAGGGAAACCGCCGTTGACCTCCGTCTTTCCCCATGTCTGGATAGCTCAAGATCGTCATGAAGAGGTGGGCCACGAACATCACTATTCCATTAACCGCCGACATCAGTCGATACCTCGCCGCCTTGTCGAGATCCATCGACACCAATAGCATCGCCGCTCACCATCATGACGTCTGCCCCTGTTCGTCAGTGAAGTGCCCTAGTCTCGCCTGTCGTCGTCCGCCAACCCACTCCACTGTTGCATTGTTGCCACCACTACTCCCGCTGCTAACGACGACGACGAATACCCGCAAGATTGACACCATGTTATGGAGGCCGGAGGAGCAAAACCATGGATGTCACTGTCGTTGTTCTCAGGTGAAGATGCATAGATCTCTCCTCTCCTCTCTGTTTGGTTTGCTGGTTCAATGTTTGTCTGTTCGGAAATCTGTTAACCAGCAGTTGGTGTTTCATCTGCGGGACTTCAGCTTATCCTCACTATACTAAGGCGTCTAAGACACTAATGCCAACCCATTGGATATGTTATCCTAGCAGTTGGTATTATGTCAAGTATGAGTTAGTTTTGCATGCTAGTTGCTATGCCAGTTTGATAGATCTGTAGGACTAGTTGTATTATTATGTGATTATTTGTATGTGCATTAGTTATGTTATATGTTGACATATTATGTTGGTTGAGTTGAGGTTGTACTACTCCGTATGGTAGCCAAAAAACCCTAGAGTATGCCAGATATGAGCTGAGGGTCAGGCGGGGCATGCCAGACTCATATTGAGGACTCAGAAGTATTCTAGATATGAGCTGAGGGTCGCGTGGGGCATGCCAGACTCATACTGCGGACTCAGGAGCTTTTCAGATACAAGCTGAGGGTCGGGTAGGGCATGCCAGACTCGTATTGTGGGCTCGGAAGCATTCCAGTTACAAGCTGAGGGCCGGGTAGGGCATACCAGACTTGTACTGTGGGCTCGGTGACAATCCATATGTGAGCTGTGGGCCCGGAAGGCAATCTAGACAAACACCATGTATCATGGGGTATTCCAGTCTGTATAGTTGTGGACCTAGTACATACTGTTATTTGTATGTGTGTTATGTGCAGTGTATCAGTATTTTGGGGGAACTCACTCAGCTTTGGGCTTACAATTTTAGTTTTGGTTTCAGGTACGTTGAATGATCGCAGGAAGGCAAAGGCTTGATCATACAGCTCCTCACATTTTATGATTATGTTTCTGGGATACTCTTATATAGAAGTATTTTGAAAACAAATTGGTAATAACAGTTGGTTTCTAAATGTTTTAAAAAAGTTTAAATTTGTCATGATTTTTATGGGTGTTACAAGTTGGTATCAGAGCCTTGGTTGAGTAAATTGGATAAACACTTGTTTGTATCTAGTATCAAACTAGGATCTGAGAGTTTTTGTAAAATGTTTTTGAAAAAGACATTGTAA